TTTCCCTACGCGGAAGGACTGGCTGGGTTTTTGCAAGCTTAAATGCTCAGAAGTAGCTAGTTTGAGCACACTGTGTTTAGGGTGAGGATTAAAATGAGGTAAAGCCTGTAAGAGTCACAGCTGGGAAGCTGACTCCTTTTCTGCTGATAGCATCCTATTACTGCCCATTTTAAAAGTTTTCTGTTAAGCTGTTATTCTGCTGTGAGACAACGATAAGGACAATGAAAGACTTGGCTACACAGTGTTTCTAGATAAGTTTCAGGACGGAGCTAATCTATACTTCTTGTAGCGATGCTGAATTTAAGATAGTCTACCTTGTTTTAAATGTGCAAAGGATTAGTATAGCAGTTATGTGAGAGCAGGTAGTTAAGTTTTTCAGTAGAATATGTTTCCATTTGAATATTTTCTAGTCAGGTATAAAAGCCTGGATTTGTGTATGCTTCAGTGACCAAATCATGTAATTGAGGCTAAGTCTCAATAACTGATAAGGTGCATAAAAGAGCATTTTTGAAGGGGTGGCTTGCGTAAGGGATTTTAATAACATGGCAATTTAAGCTTTATGTTATTAGGCTAACTAGTAAAAAGTAGTATAGCTGAAGGTATAAATGATAAACCTTTTAGTGCTCTTTCAGCTGGAAAAAAGTAGTGACTAGATGGGGAAAAGAGAAAGAAAAGGATGTACCTGTACTCTTCAGTTTTGCTTGCATCAGATATAATGGTGCTCCGATGCACATGTTCTTCATCAGAGTAGTCGGGTAGCTGAACTGATGAGCTCTTACTTTGAGGATGTGTCAAAGCAGAACCTGATGTTGTTCTAGAGGTCCCAGTGTGCTCAAGGAAGTAACTAGTAATAATTTCAAGAAGTGTTTTAAGTGGGTTCTCCTTTGCCTGTTCAAAAAGAAAAATACAATTCTTGGTGACTATTAAAACTCTTCAGTAGTCTTGCTGTAGGATATTTCCTCTTATACTGTACAATGACTGAAATGTTTAATGCTTTCTACGTTTAGGTACTTGCACTCATATACTGGATGTGACTGTATAAATAGTACAGGAAACTAGAAGATTTCAGGGAATTTCATAAGCTTAAGAGTTTTGAATTCTTCAACCAGTCAAGTAGGCATATGCCGGTACAGATGAAACGAGCTCTTCGGTCATTCTTTTAGCTTAAAATAGTGTGGTAACTGTGCTATAAAACACCTTTGCTAATGTTACTTGGACAACTTTGGAAGGGTGTAGGATGAACTGTATATTTTCTTCTTGGTACCTGACTTGAGTATTTCTATTTCATATTACCAGAACTCTGAAAAGTACTGATTTTAGAACTCTACTCATGTGAATGAGGTAACTCCTAATTTTAAGGCAACAGCCTCCACTCAATTTTTACTATTTTTCAGTAGTACTTGAGAAAATACATCCTGTGCAGATGAGGTTCTGGGACTTAAACTTAACAAAAAAAAAAAAAAATCCCAAAAAGTTACACTGCCTGCTGTAGTAACGTAAAGAGAGTGGAGGTTTCTTATTATTATTATTTGTTAGTTATCTAGTAATGGATAGCATTATCATTAAGATGCTGCTTGCCAAAAGAATCACAGTTCCTGAAATCATGGGTGGTCAGTACTGGTTTTAGGGACCAAATGGAAATTATCCACAGATGCCTTGACATCAAGTATTGTGGTCTGTGTTATCTTAAAGTGTGAATACACAGGAAAAGTTACTGTGGTCTGTGTTATGTTAAAGAGTGAATAGGTAGTAGAAGTGTAATCCTATCTTGCAGGTCTTGTATGAAGTTGCAAATAAAAACAGGCATGCAGAGGTACTTCTGAAATTGAATAATCTAGCCGTAACAGTGGAATAGGTGCTAAAATGAGTAACTGCTTGTTCATTTGAGGTTGCAGTTTGTAATAAGGGTTCATGAACTGCCAGGTTCTCAGTTTAGTCCCATGAATGGTAATGTAATCCTATGCTCTCAGTTTCTCCGGAGAACTGTTGATATGTCCACAGCAATGCAGTGGTGTGTACGGGCTTGAGTACTCTGCAGTTCGGATATGTACTACAGCCTTGATCTGTCTGGCCCAGATTCACAGCATGTGATTGCCAGGTTCTTGGGAGAAAGATTTATTGCCTTACCTTGTTCTGTTTGTACAAGGAGTTTAGATGTAGGAGATTTCGAAGTTCATTCCTGTTATTGATGCTAAGTGTAGAACGTGGACATTCTCGGTCCATGGTAGCGATAGTTTTCTTCAAACCCTGAGGAGAAGTGTCAGACAGTACGACTAGTTACCAGAGCTTTTTTCTTGACTTTGTTGGACCTAATGTGAAATTCTGGATGTACTAAAATGACAGCAGTTAATCACAACAAGCCAACCCAAAAAACCTATACCATAATCATACAATCTTGGATTACTCTAGCACACATATGTTGAAATAACTGTACTTAACAGTATTTGTTATCTGTGAGGCAGAAATAATCAAACATGAAAAAACAAACCACCTTGCAGCTGACTTCATCTGCTTAACAGCAGTGTAAGACTGGTCTCTATGAAGGCCCCTGCTACCTACCTGGTCTTGTGGTTCACGTAATTCCAGAAATAATGAGTTTATTTTTTTCCATCAAGGTAGTACAGTTTTTCCTAAACGTGATTCCGGCTTCTGTAGTTACAAAGCTTAAACAACAGATACACTTCATCCCTTGGCCAGTACAGAACAAAGTTCAAAAGCTTTATCCTGAGTTCAGGATAGTCTGGTCAGTCTCAGGTCAGAAATCAGTCTCATTTCCATTAAATCAACAAACTGATTTGGGGTCTTCATGTGACTCAGAACCCAGTTGTGGTTTGCAGGACAGTATAAAGATTACATTAATTGAAACTGTATTAAGAATGAATCCTCCTACAGTTTTTGCCCTTACCTGGAAGAAGAAAAAAGCCTCCATCTCTTGCATGAGTTCTAAAAAACTGAAATGAAAATTTTGCACCATCAAGCCTGTTGCAGTTGTGCTCCACCACGCTTCAGACTTCCTCAACTATTTAGAATCTGTAGTCATGCATGGGAGCTTCACAGACTGAAGTTCTGGTTATGGCCCTTTCTAGGGGGAAAGCCTGATTTCCTATGAAATGTCAGGGTCAAATCCCAAATTTATTTAACAACGTCAGAACACCATTTTGAGAGAGACTGTTTTGGTACTTTCTGTGAAGTGTCACTGCTATAAGGTTTTTTTTTTTTTTTTTTCCTCCTCCTGCAAGTGGGTTGCCTGGCTCGGCGCTAGGGCTGCACGGACAAGTTGTGGCAAGTAAAGAATGGTTCTCACGGTTGGCTTGGGTGCGTATTAAAGGAGGATTGGGGTGGAGGGAGGGGGAACACTTGTGCAGGAGCACAAAGGCTTTCCATGTCCCTTATTTTGACACTGTAGTATAGCATATGAAACAGATGCTGCAATGTACATATAAGTTACTGTTGTAAGCTCTGTGGTCTGTTTTGCCAGTACAGCGTTCCTACTCCTTTTATGTTTTTATTCAATTTTATGTTTAAACAGAGCCAACTTGGAAATGTAAATGTATTTCATTTGAAAAATCTTTGTAATCAGTTGAATTGACAGACTTGAGCCTCTCGTACTGTCATACGTACATGGCAGTAAGTGGCAAGTAATGAGTTCTGCATCTGAAATGTAATGAGCAAATGTTTAAACATTGTTCACAAACACGGAGAACGTGCATGTGGGGACCGGATGCAAAGCAGACAGCAAAAGTAGGGTTTGTGTAGCACTTAATAGCATTACTAGCATTGTGGTTGTTTAATTTCTGATATAAGAAAACTTAAATGCTGAGACTAGAGGATTAGGCTGAACAACAGCAATATTTTCTCAGAACTGGAATTAAGAAATAGAAAGAGGTAGGTAATTTTACCTGGAAAGGGGAAGGTGTATTTCTCCTCTGCTTCATCCCACTCTCCCTATGCTTACAAACATTACAAAGGACTTCCTTTATGGCGTTACGTTTGTGAAAAGTAGAGTGGCCTGTTTCTTCCCCTTCTCCTTGTTTCCTTCCCCCCAAATAAATCTCCTGTCTGCTAAGCTTTAACTGAAAACCAGGAAAAGACGTTACCGTTTTCTCGAGCAGTGTTGCCTTTTGTCTTTTTATGTTATTAGTTAGTTTGAGAAGTTTTCTATGTATCTGGTAATCCTAAGGGCAAAAGCAAGATTGGTAACTAAAAGCGAAAACTGTGAAACCTGCATTTCTTGAGGAAATACTGGGTATGGCAGGCACGTCTGGGTAAGAATCGGGTTTCCTCAGACAAAGAGGAAGCTGGCTTCCATATTCAGAAATAAAAAGGCATTGTGGGAAATGTAGTGCAGCTGCTAACTCTAAAAGGGTTATTGCAGTTCAGGACTAGCTGCTCCAAGGCTGGAAGAAGTCCGTCCCTCCCCATCCCACCCCACATTCCTTAATCTTTAACATCTAACATTTTTCACGTGTCCTTCTCATTTGTACTAGCTGGAGAAAATCGAGACAAATTACCTTTCTACTGAGAAATTCTCTCACCAGTGATGCAGCCACTTCTTCCACAAAGGAGTTATCCATTTTTAGCCCAAAGTGTGTTAAGGGGGCGTATTCTTTACTTCATCTAACAAATCATTCAAATCTGCCAACATTGCAGCTCTTCGGTGCGGCTTTTAACCACTGCATTCCTGAAGCAGCGGTGGGCAGGACTGCAGCAGCGGGGCTGCGTTCAGTGCGGTGTCAGGGAGACGTTGCTGCGGAGACCGTGTCCTCGGAAGCAGGGAGAACTCCTCCCCCTGGGAGGGAAGCAAATGGTGGACCTAAAACTAAAAGAGCTCAGGTTTTAACGCTGCAGCAACCGTTTCAGGAAATGCTTTTAAAACGCAAAACCTCTTAAATAACGAAATGTGAGAACAGAATGCTGAAATCTGAAAGAGGTGACCATTGTCTGGTTTCTTCTGAAGCCGTCAAAAGATGCATATGTATTTGCAGCCTATTACTTCTGTGCAACTGCCAGTTTTAACCCTGTATGTTTCTTCTAGTAAAATTGTAATTTAACAAAAAAAAAAAAACACACCACCAACAACAACCACCCAGCTGCTAAGCTTAATCCCTCATGCTGGTAACTTCTAAGGTGGGAGCATTCATCAGTTGAATCTGTCCTTCCAATTTGCACTTAAATTAGCCAGTAGTGCAACACACTAAGGGAAGGACCACGGAGGGTCATTCTTGGGGCTTCGGGCCTAATTTAAGCTGGAAAGGACATTTGGAGGTCATGTAGACCACACACTGCTTAAAGCAGGGATAGATGTGGTTACACAGGGTCTTCTCCAAGGATGGAGGTTTCACAGTGTCAGCAACCTCTTTAAATTCTTGACCTATCTTAACTGGGAAAGCTGTTTTCCTTACCTAGTTAAAGTTCCCTGGGCTGCAGCTTGACTCTTCCCTCATACTTCCTCTCAAGGTTGAACAGACATAGCCCTCTTAATTGTCTTTCTGATGCTTTACTGGGCTTGTTGCACCTTGTTGAGCTCTCTTCTCTCTTGTACTGAGCTGATGAGGGAAGCAAAGTAAAACACAGTTTTCTACGTGTGGCTTCCTGAGTGCTTCAAAGAGGGGAATAAACAATCTCGATCTGCTGGTTGTGTTTACTAGTGCAGCCCAGTATGTGGTTACTCAGCTTTGCTGCAAATTTGGCTTAAATCCTGCTAGTGGAAAAGGGAAGACCCTAAAGCAAGCACTAGCTGTGTTTGGGATGCTACAAGCCCAGATGTTGTGAATCCTTAATCTGATGAAACTTGTTTGAGCTTCACAGCATAAAAAATCACTGGTCGTTATTTTCTGCATTCTATGTCAGGAAAAGATAGTACAGTTTTTGTCCAGCGTCTCTGTACAGCAGGCCATGTGGGATGCACCACTAGAGGGGCGTCGAGGATTGTTTCAGATTCTGGGGTTAGCTGATGATCTCTTGAGTTCAGTGCATTTGTCACTTATCTTGTCTAATACAAGAGTTATTAGAGCTAAATGGTTCTACACATATGACAGACACTGGACAACACTGAACAATTAACAGCAGACAATCTACAAGTATAACAAAGCTAAAAAGTATAATAAAGAACTAAAAATAGAATACACACATCAGAGTTCTATGGTTAAGCCACGAATGTACTCAGTATAATGAGTGCTCTTGCCCTTTCCTTGTCCTTATGGGCCAACCCTCCAGTACAGTTTTCCCTGGATTGTTCTCAGCATGCTCAAGCTGCACCAAGAGGATTCAGGTTCTCCCTGGCAGTGCCAACAGGGTGCATTGGGGCATCCCTGCTGATGGGTGGGTTGTCGGGTCCGCAGGCCAGCTGGTGGTGAGTCCGAGTCCACGCAGAGGTATGTGGCTTACTTTCTTTTATCCTTCCCGGGCTTAGTTTATTATTCAGTCGATCAGTGCCAGACCACAGGTAGGCAATAGAACAGATGTTGTCAGTTGATAACAGCATGGATACCAACAGGTTGGTCAACAGAATGGTCAACAATATGGTCAACAGATAACAGTATGTACAGCAACAGCTATCAGTATACATATTAAACAGTACCTAGCTGCTGACAGTGCAAGTCTGCAGCGTCACTTTGCTGACTAAGTTTGCTCAGCCTTCATGGGGTCACTTAGGCAGCCTCACAGTGTGGTGACTCTGGCTATGGTGCACCTGGGGTTTCTTTGCTCTTGGGGAGCACTCTAGAGCAAAACCCTCTCCTATGGGCTGCGCCATCCCGAGTCCCATGCTTGCCTGTGTGCTGCCTATCACCATGGCTTGGTCTATCTGCAGTGAGTGAAGCGTTGGGCTGAGAGTTTCATGGTATATATGCAACTGTTCCTTTTTTCCAAGATCCTCATGCCCTCTACTGTGTAACACTATGCGTGAATTTGATGTAGAATGGCTTCACTGTTGAAGAAACAGAAGTAGATGAGAAAATAGTTGGCACTGTGGCTTACGCATAACTTGTGAGCTACGTGAACTGTATCTGTTGCCCAGTGTGGCTGACCACTGATGTCTGAAGATACAGGGGTAATGTAGTGCTGCTTAGTGATGTGCAGCACAGTTCTGGCTTAAAGTGCCTACCACTGTTTAAAGATATTGCACCAAATCTTTTCAGCTACTTGGAATTAGATGTGCTTTGCAAAAAATGGCAGAATTGCTGCTCGCAAACTAATTCCAAGTGGAGCTGGTTTGCAGAACAGGAAAAACTCCCTCATTCTTGCTAGGAAGAAAAAAAAGAAAGTAGAGCAAACTAGGGGGGAAACTAGTATAATCAGATGAGATTAAGGAGGCCTGCCAGGTGGAATTCCCCCTGATCTTTGTGCAGTCGGAAGCTGCATGTGTATGGAGAAAAATAGATATCAAGATTTTGGGTGGGATGCAAGGGAGAAAAATCTGGGCATTGGTCACAAGTATCTCAGTTGAGTATAAGCATGCAGAGAGGAAGACAAAATTCTTGACTGAGAGGTGCATTTTGGATCTCCGTGTTATATGAAGTGTGTTGCCTCTCCTGCTTACCGACAAGGTTGTGTAAGCATTTAGGAGTGGAAGAAAAGTGATCAGGTTTGTGGGCCTGTGGATTCAGCTATACTTAAGCTTTTTGGAGCAAGGATACATGTTTTGTACTTTACAAAAGCAGGAGCTGCAGCATACCAGGAGCAAGGCCTTGGTCCTGACCAGAGATCAGTGGTAAGGTTCTGTAGTGAGACCTGGGGATTAGAGCAGACCTTCAAAGATCGCAAAGAGCGCTCGAACACTGGGTAAACTCCCTGGGTAAAGAGGGTTTTTGTTTCCTCTAACTAGTTGAAGCAGTTTACGTTCACTAGAAAAACCCTTATTTATGGAAAACTTGTGGGGGGGGAAAGTGAAATTGCACAGGGGAGAGACAGAGAAATTGCCCAAAAATTGAAATGTGCTGACACAAAGCCTCATGCAGATTAGAGTAAGGAGGTAGAAGGGGCTGTGCAAACTGAGCACAGTGTTGGATGCTGCAATTTAAATGCAGGAGCATTTTGCTGCAGAGACTTTGATAAAGTCGTGTGTTTTTTGGAAAACTGCAAGACAAAAATGAGTTATATAGTATTTGAAAAGGGAATTATATTTAGAAGGCATATTTTAAATAGGTATTGGTAGAGGAATCATTTCTACAGTGATGACAGCAGAACTTCCTCCAAATGTATGAACTTATTGGGGGGGCATTAGGCTAGTGGAAAGTGGCTATTTCAAAAGGAAATGAGCAGTAATCGAGAACTTGCAAAAGGCAGAAGGAAGGAGAAGACTGCAGTTTGCTTTGAGTAAGGGCTACCTGTATCCCCAGGAGCATGGGCAGCAGTGGTGGCAGCAGCTAGTGGGGCTGGAAGTTTACTGGTGCGGTGGGTATAGGAATATAGAAGCAGCCTGTGGGAGGGGGGGCTTAAATGCAGTTCTTGACAAAATATTCGCTGCCTGTTGCTTTCTTAGTTGCAGATAGTGAAATACAAAGCTGTTGTAATAAAATACAATAACAATGCACAGATCTTAAGAGCTTTTACTTAAGTGACGAAATGTCTGTCTTGCAATCCATTTATCTTAGAAAAGAAGGGTGCTGTTATGCATGTGCATAACAGTAGAGCACTATTGACCTGTAATCAGTTTTTCATATGTCCTATCTCCTTACAAAAGAGAGAGCAGCTCTCAAAAGTTCTTTTTTCCAGGCTGAAATGTAAATGTCAGGAATGCCCTCTTGCGTCCATGGATCAGTATTGCACCATTGAGAAAAGCGCTTCATAAATGCTACTTACTGACTAATGTAGCAGTGAGGGTGACTTCTGTACTATCTCATTGCTTGTTGTGGTAGTGCTGGTGTTCTCAAAGGTTAATTAAACACTTACCTCTAAAAACAATAGCCAAGGTTGATTATAATCTGCAGATTAAGTGGGGTGGTTCAAAAGTAGTTCGGTTATGGCAGATGTGGGAATTGTTTTCCGTAAAGTAGCTCTTCTGGTACTCCTAACAGGAAGTAGTACTTGAATGCAATTCAATTGCAAGCGCCCCAGATTTCACTAGAACATAAAGGAATCTCAGATGGGCTGCAATCCAAAAGTAGGAATCGGAAAACTGTATTTCAAAGCTAGTAAAGGTTTAATATTAAGTCATGTTAAAGAAAAGTCAGAGGTTCTTTTCTGAGTCAAGGCTGCTTTAGTAACCTGATTATAATATTAGTTTTATGAGTTTTACCTTTATCACTGGTAGAGCTATGTGAAGCATCTTGTTCTTAATGCATCCACTGCAGGTGGTTGTTGTACGCAGTGAATATAGCTCCTGCGGGAACGGGGTAGTTGTTGTGCAGGTGGGACAAAGTCTCTCCAGTGGTATGTGGCAGATCTGGTGTAGCTGCACCTCACAATTAGCTGCCAATGGCATGCTCCACCTCTCTGCAGCCTGAAGAAAGAACCTCTGAGGTCTTGCGGTCCCTCAGCCGCGTAGGGTTGCCTTAGACAGTGGGAAAGGGGATGTGCTGTTTCTGCACAAAATGAGTGTAGCAAAATTCAGTGTGTAGTCCTATGGAAGGGAGTTGGTATTGTGCAAAATGTTTATGCTAATAACATCTTCTTTATAGCTGGAACTGTGGCTTCCTGGAGCCGTGTTTACTGGCACTGAAGCTGCAGGGACAGCTCGTGATGTCACACCGTGAAAACTACCCTTCTACCGTTGTCTGTGCTGCTTGTACTATGTTGCACTGCCCCATAAA